AAGAATGGAGATGACATTGTTTCCTTTCTCTTGTGCAAGCAAGGAGTACCAATTCACACAATGATGGCATAGCAGCAACAATTCGGCTTCTGGCTTGCCTTTAGATAAAAGGAAGGAAGGAAAGAAAGATCATCCACCAGCCACTTTTTCTCATCCTGTATATTTGGTACAGAAAGTTGACACCTTTCTAGGCAGACCTTGAACTGCTGGGTTTTCTGCTAGGAAAGAGGACACCAAGACATCCTAGGAAACTATATTTTTCAAGAGTGAGAGCGAAGAGTGACCATAAATGTTTCTTTAACTCAGAGGTTGGGATCCTCCAGCCTGCAGTTCTAATCAGGACTCTGACTTGCAACCAACAATTCCATTCTATTCCAAACACCTGGTAAAATCTTGTTCTTTTTCAATAACATTATTTTGTTTAGTCTTAGTACAATGGTAGACTTTTGATTTGTGGTTTGGTTTTGAAGGAATGGGTGAGGGTGCCTGGAGGAGGGAGAGGGTGCCTGGAGGATATATATACTGCATGAAACTTGTCATTTCTTTGGACTTGCTGTGGACTCACCACACAGGTGCCTTCTGCTATCCGGAGAGCAGAATAAACTCTTTCTTTGAACCAACTCGGTGTCATTTGACTTCCTTCCTCCTGTCCCGGAGCAATGCAGACCCAATCGGTGAACTCCAATAAGGCTACAGTTTGGCTTTTTAAAAATAATAATAATTAACTCAAGATTCATGAAATGTTTTGGGAGGAAGAGGTCTTTCTGAGACAAAGAAAAGATAAGTTTCAAGCCAGTGCTGAGAGAAAAAGGTTGAACTAACAAATTACAGAAATATGTGTCTTTTACAAACATTTTGATTTTTAAAAGATTTATTGGGGACTCTATTTATTTAAAGATTTATTCAGGGAATCTATGGGATCTTTTCTTTAGCAGGCGGCCCTTCTTCAGAGGCGTTTTGCATACATCTCAGTCTCTTCATCATCCACGAATTGAAGCTGAATCCAGATAAAAGAAACGTGTTATGTGTCCCAAGTCATCAGGTCCATGAGGTGGCCTGTTCTGGATGAGCTTGCACTCAACTAGAAGGAATAGATACATAATGGGGGTCTATCCTGGAGTCATTATTGCCACTTGTCAGGGACTGGGCACAGGAGGAGGAGTGGTGGAGTCCGTCTCCCCATCCTGACCCTCCCAAGGACAATCTTCTCAGGGTGCTGTCAGTGGCACCCAGCTGGTTTTGCAGGGAAGTATAAAAACAAGGGAAAGTGTCTTACAGTCCTTTTTTATTTCAAACATTACAAAGAGAGGCTATAGAACCCAGCCTCTTGGAGAATGGCGTTGTCCCGAGTGAATCTCCACCCCTCCTTCTCTCCCACTTCCTTTTTTGTTTTTTAAATAACTTTTATTCAAAATTAAAACAAAACATATTATCCAGAAACATATCATCCTTATTTCCCCCCATTTTTCCTCCCTCCCCCAACAGAACCCATCCACCCCCACCCCCGACTTCCCTCAGTTCCAGTCTTTGAGTTCTCTAAGAATGCTGTTTTCTGAATGTTACACAGTTGTATAAATCCTCAAACTATCTAGCTGATTATTATCAATAAAAAGTTTGTGAATGTTTATTCAAAACCAGCCGAGGAGTCCAGTTCACTTTGTTGTATCTTCAAATACTTCGTAAAGGGTTCCCATTCTTCTTTAAAGTCACAGTTATCCTTGTCCCGTAGCTTGTATGTCAGTTTTGCCAGTTCTGCATAGTCCATCAATTTTTCTTGCCATGTTTCTTAGTTGGGGTTTCTTCAGTCTTCCATCCTTGTGCTACCAGAACTCTATCAGCCGTTGTTGCATACATGAAGATGTTTTTCAGCTTTTTTGGCAGATCTTTCCCTACAATCACTAATAAAAATGCTTCAGGTTTTTTAATTCTCTCCCACTTCCTAATTCGTCACCATCATCTCTTCTACTGGTGTCGCTAAGTGTCCTCTGTCTTACAGCTCTTTGCTCTCCTACTTTTAAGACTCGCAAGGTTCTGGGAGATGGTGGGTCTGGAAAGCTTTCTAGTGACAATGTGTCAGCCAGCTACTGCTCCGGCTCTGCCTGTTCCTTCTCTCCCATTTTTCCCCAGCTTCCCCCCTCATCTGCCTCTGAGCTGTGACCTCCTGCAAACTCCTGTTATAAATCTATACTGTCTTTTTCCTCCTCTTCCTCCTCCCTGGAAGGGTCGGGATGAAGAGGCGGTCTCCACCACTGCTTCTCCTCCGCCCAGCCCCTAACATCACCTCCCTCTCCAGTGTCCTCCTCCTCTGCCCAGTCCCTGACACTACTTGAGGCCCAGGTGGTTTCTCTGACTAGGAGCTACTATCCTTGCTGGACATGAATGGCCACTGTACTCCATGCTCTGGCATCCTCTGAGGCCTCACTTGAAGATGGTCCAGAGGCTACAGCTAGTGCAGAATGCCACCATCTGTCTTTGGGCTGGAACATCAATTAGGATGAGAAAGCACCTGCCCTGAAACAGCTGCACTGGTTGCTATTCTCTTATGTACTCAATCCAAAGCTCTACACAGGTTTGTCCAGTCACAACTTTGGTCACAGATACCTGTAAGAAGAAGAAGAAGAGTTTGGATTTGATATCCCGCCTTTCACTCCCTTTAAGGAGTCTCAAAGCGGCTAACATTCTCCTTTCCCTTCCTCCCCCACAACAAACACTCTATGAGGTGAGTGGGGCTGAGAGACTTCAAAGAAGTGTGACTGGCCCAAGGTCACCCAGCAGCTGCATGTGGAGGAGCGGAGACGTGAACCCAGTTCCCCAGATTACGAGACTACCGCTCTTAACCACTACACCACACTGGCTCTCAGTAAGAGTGTCTCCACCCCTATGTGCCAGTCAGGGTATTACAATCTGTTGGAAAAGCTTTTCTTCTGGTGCAGTCTCCCTCAGGGTGTGTGTGTGAGTTTTGTAGCGTGTGAGATACCCTTCTCTGTAATGGTCCCCAAACTGTGGAACTCACTCTCTATAGCAGTGAGACAGGTGCCACGTCTTTCCAACTTTAGGCAGTCATTGAAGGTACACCTCTTTTCTGTAACTTTTGGCAGGTTATCTAGTGTTGTTAACGTTTCCATGTATATCCTCTGGTTTGCTGATATGCACTTTATTGTATGAGATTATAGGGTGGGTGTGTTTTTATTGTATTGTATTGTATTGTATTGTATTGTATTTTTCCAGATGTTACCTATTGTGGGACCTTATAGTCTTCTTCTTCCAAAAAGAATATCTTCCATAAACACAGTTTTAACAGTGAGTCCATAAGTGACTGTGGAGGCCAATTCTGGATCCACACGTCCTTCCGCAGTGGGGACATAGGTTTCTAGGCGGGAGTTGATCATGGTGAGGGTTTGCCAAGTGTGCCTTCCTCTTCACATGCTTCTCCTTTTCGTCCTGAGTTTGAGCATCTTCGAAGCCCATGACACCTTTGGTAAAGGCTGATCTCCAATTGGAGCACTCGCAGGTCAGTGTTTCCCAGTTGTCAGTGTTTATACTGCATTCTTTTAAAGATTTGCCTTGAGAGAGTCTTTAAACCTCTTTTGTTGACCACCAGCATTATGCTTTCCAATTTTAAGTTCGGAATAGAGTAGTTGTGGGGATCTTATAGTGAAGGGTGATTAAAAATACAAAAGTATTTGTATTCACAGTAGTATTTTGTATTCCACAAGTTTCTGTATTTTAAAGGTGCAGAGATCTGTGTCTCTGTGTGGACTCCATATACTCCTCTCCCTTAATACAGGCATAATGTGCAGTGATTTTGACCTTGAACGAATAGTCCAGGATGTGGTTGAAAGGTAATATACAAATAAATGCCAGAAGGGATCTTTAATTGTAATAGCTCTATTTTTACCTTCCTTAAAACCTGGAGAAATAAATGGATATATTTGTCTTCATTACAACACAAGCACCTGTGAAAGGTTGGGAGGTACTGGACGAGCAAATGTATCATGCCGGCAGCCGGTGTCCTTACTGTAGCCTTGTCATAGCTCACCAACCAATATATTTTATCTTCATATCAAGCTGAAACAGGGCAGATTTCTGCGATTTAAAAGGGAAAATAAAATACATCCATCTTCCAGAGATTATGAATGGATGTCCATTGGTAATACTTGAGCAAAGATGAACATTGTCACACTGATCCAAGCAAGGGAAATGTGTGAATATGGAAGCAGATTCCAAGCATAGATTCCTTCCTGGATGGGAAACGATGAATGTTTGTATGGATATGAACCTCTGTAGATGTAAAGAATCTGATGCAGTTCCATTCACAGGACTCGGTGTGACTTGTGGCATGAATGATCATAGCTGTCAACTTACAGATTTGAAAATAAGGGACCAGCAGCCTTGAAAATAAGGGACCAGCAGCCACAATAAGGGACCTGCAGCCTCACCTGTTCCAGGCACTCCAGTCTTCCTGTCCTCCTGCAGTCTGGTCAAACTCATGCTGGTAGCTTCGAGAACACTGTCCAACCAACTTTGTAACCAGAGGTTCAACTGAATAGAATCTGAATCACATGCACCGCAAGGCCTATGCAGCCTCTACTTAAGATGGCTCCCCGGCCTGGCTTTGCACTGCAAAGTTTGCAGCAGCATGTGCAATAAAATGGCGTCCAGCATTCAAAAAACCCCTCAGCTTGCATTAACTAGCCACACACAAGGCATGCAAGCTCCACCCCCTAGTCGTTCTTAGACTTCTTATTGGGTGAGCAACACAGCCAAGCAACACAGCTGGAGCCTCCCTCCTCCCTGGCTGGCAGGGAGGGAAGGAGAGGAGCTGCTTCCTTTGAAATTTAAGGGACATCATTTAAGGGACATTTAAGGGACATCCATCAATAAGGGACAGCAGCGGGACATGGCGCTGGAATAAGGGACTGTCCCTTCAAATAAGGGACACTTGACAGCTATGTGAATGCATTACACCTCAATGCCATTCTTTGTCAGAAGATCTCAAAGCAACTTAAAAATGGTTCTCATGAAGTTTCCTCTTCTGCTTACCAGCCCACACGTGCTTAGCTTCATCAGTAGAATGACATTATGCATCTCTACAAGAAACAGAATTCCATAACTGAATGACATGGTTTGGCACATGGGTGACTTACAAAGTCCTAAGCTTTGTGGCAGAACACAGGAGAAAAAACAAACTCTTAAACATGCTTCCCGTAACATCTAGTTTGGACTGTCCTTCAGGAGAATGGGCAAACTCTTCGGGCAAGTGGCTGTCAGAGACCTTTCCATTACAGTGGTACCTCAGGTTACAGACGCTTCAGGTTACAGACTCCGCTAACCCAGAAATAGTACCTCAGGTTAAGAACTTTGCTTCAGGATGAGAACAGAAATCGTGTGGCGGTGGCACGACAGCAATGGGAGGCCCCATTAGCTAAAATGGTACAGTTTCAGGTTAAGAACAGTTTCAGGTTAAGAACAGACCTCCAGAATGAAGTAAGTTCTTAACCCCAGGTACCACTGTATGATACTTTTTCTGACACCCTTCTTACTGCAAGTTTCTTGCTTTATAAGAAGACACTAAGGAGTTAGACTAACTGGGACGTGGGTGGCGCTGTGGTTTAAACCACTGTGCTGCTTGGACTTGCTGATCGGAAGGTCAGCGGTTCGAATCCCCACGACGGGATGAGTTCCTGCCAACCTAGCAGTTCAAAAGCACCCAGTGCAAGTAGATAAACAGGTACTGCTCTGCTGGGAAGGTAAACGGCGTTTCCCTGCGCTGCTCTGGCTTCACCAGAAGTGGCTTAGTCATGCTGGCCGCATGACCTGGAAAAGCTGCCTGCGGACAAACGCCGGCTCCCCTAGCCTGTAAAGTGAGATGAGCACCACAACTCCAGAGTTGTTCATGACTGGACTTAACTGTCAGGGGTACCTTTACCTTTACCTTTTGAGGAGTTGGACTAGATCCAAGGGGTCTGAGTACCATTTTGCTCTATGGCTTGAAGTTTTATCCCTCATGTTTCTTTTTAGTGTATGTTGATTTTAGGATCTCTAATTGTGATCTGAGTTGCGATTCAATTATGTTCACTACATTGTAAGTCATTTGTTTTATTTTTAAAAGGGGGCTATAAATGTGATTAAAAAGTCAACATAAATGGACTGTGCAAGCGGCAGCAGGCTTTGCACTACACAGCGCCCCAGAGTCACGCTGCTCACATGCCTGCGCTCAAGAGATAAACAAGAGGATTATTATTTAATATTTATTTCAGGCATTTGCAAGGGGCACTGTCTGCCAAAGAGCACTCAAAGGAGCACACAAGAAAAGAAATAAGAGCACAATGCAAACACTTTATATTCTATTTCTGATCTTTTAGGGGAGAGGGCAAGCACTTACAAAGCCACAACAGCATGTGGACACACGCACACACACACACACGAGAGTTATCAACAGACTCAGGGAAACCCCCAGAAGTGTAAAGTACGGTAGTTTTGCCCAGTTTTTTTTTAAAAGCACCCTCTAAAGGGTAAACCTCAAAACAGCTCAGTGAGGACAGAATTCATTCAGTGGGCTTGAATTGTTTGCTTGGCTGACTGTTGGGGAACACAAAGCTGGTAGGAGGAGGAACAGAGTGGATTGGCTGGAAAAGAAGGCATGTCGGTATATAGAAAAAGGTTGAGATAACTATTCCATTGTCTAGGTAGGCTATTTTTCTGGTTTACACTGAATAGCCATTTTAAAATGTATCCAGGACTGAAGAGATAGCTGCCCATAGAAGTCAATTAAGAAATCCATGATGTTAAGAGAAGCTGGGATTGGGTGCCAATCCCCCACATTCACAAAAACAAAACTGAATGGGGGACAGAAGAACCTGAACAGCCCAATGCAGACTGAGCATATTCTGTGCATATGGGAGGCTGAATGATTGTTGCAGAAAACTGGATGGAATAGCAATAAAAATCTCAACAGCCGCACTCCATTCTGTAACGCTTTGCTGCAGAGCCCCACTTGTTAAGCCTTTAAAGCAATCCTAAAACCCTAAAAAGTCAGCTAGATTAACAGCAATCAATTTTAAACCTTATATAGCACATCCGTGGAGAGATGGAAATATCGGCTTAAAAATGCACACATCCCCAACTCAAAGGTTTAAGGAGCAAGGGAGATTGAAACTAGAAGAATGGTAACTCTAGTTTACCACAATCCCAACATTTTGCAAGGGCATCCCCAGGGAGATCAGGCTCTGCAGCCCACGAAAGATGTGTCATAGAACAGGACTATTCCTGATAAATAGGGACAACTGAAATTATGCACCATTTTATAAATGGGAGGATACTAGAAGACAAGCATTTGAGTCATGCAGGCTATATTACACAAGAGCACATATTCTTCTTCTCACCTATGAGAAGGTTTGCATCTTTGATTCACATTTCAATATCCCCCCCCCCCCATTTATGAAATCTGGTTGCTTTGATGTAATTGATGAGGTTAGTCTATTTGTGCTCTTTCTATTTTCCTTTGATGCTTAGAATATATTAGCTGGTGTCCATAAGTCAGATAACATAGATGCACTCTCCCTTTTCAATTATATCCATCCTTTCTAGTCATTTAGAGCAGCATTACAACCACATAATTATACGTTTCTCTGTGCTATCTTAAGAACAAGCAAAATGCCTATCATGATTATGGCTTAGGGTTACCTAGAGGGAGGACTTCTTTTTGCAAAGACACCTGGTGACATAGATCAGGGATGAGGAACCTGTGACGCTTCAGATGTTGCTGGACTCCATCATCTTCGACTATTGATTATGCTGGCTGGGGCTGATGGAAGCTGGAGTACAGCAACCACAGGGCTACAGCTTCCCCTTCTCTGATGTAGACACATATGGTCACACCTACGGGGTTCCTTGCAGTTGAGGTTGGGAACTAGGGAACAGCATTACGATACTGTTGTGAGTTTGTGGGGTGGTCGGTCTGCATGGCGTCCTCAGCCCCTTCTTCCTGTGCCCAGTAGGAGTTAAGATCTAATGGAGGATTCAGTTGTTGAACTAGTCAGTTTCTTTGTGAGATAATGATCATGGTTGCCACTTAAGCACCACCATAACAAAAGAAGTTGCGCTATGACAGCGGGCAAATGTGTGGGCTACTCTCCTCGCCTCAATTCTATGATTCTATGACTTTGCCTGACTGGAAAGTATCCTCGGAATCTGATCATGCCCTCTGCTTCTCCTGATGGATGAAGCACAAAGGTACAATTTACATTAATTGCTCCGCCCACCTTTGCCTCCGCCCCACCATGATTGGCATGTGGTCCTTGGAAGGTTGCTCAGAAGAGACTGACCCTCAGACAGAAGGTTTCTCACTCCTGAGCTAGGTTACGATGGCATGCCCATTACAAGGTAACAGAAGAAAGTCAAATTCCTGGGTTCTCTAACTTTCTGGCACCACAGGAAGGAAGGAACTGTTTATTCCAGCCACAGACCTGTAACCAGGGAGAAGGATTATCTCCAACCCTGGCATCACATTTAATCTGAAAAGAAATGCCATGAGCACGAGGGAGCAAGGCAAGGCAGGTAGGGGCCACCTTGATCCTATGACGAAGTAAATGACAGCATGGAGAAAGGGAAATGGCAACAAAATGAGTATGTCTGCTAAGGGAGAGCTGAGGCTTGCTATTACAGTGGTACCTCGGGTTAAGAACTTAATTCGTTCTGGAGGTCCATTCTTAACCTGAAACTGTTATTAACCTGAAGCACCACTTTAGCTAATGGGGCCTCCCACTGCCGCCACACAATTTCTGTTCTTATCCTGAAGCAAAGTTCTTAACCCAAGGTACTATTTCTGGGTTAGCTGAGTCTGTAACCTGAAGTGTCTGTAACCCGAGGTACCACTGTACCAAGAAATTGTGAAAACCAGGGGAGGTTGTTGGGTTTGGACCCCATCCTAGCAATCTCCCACAATACCCATACTTAAAGGTAAAGGGTAAAGGGACCCCTGACCATTAGGTCCAGTCGTGACCGACTCTGGGGTTGCGGCGCTCATCTCGCTTTATTGGCCGAGGGAGCCGGCGTACAGCTTCCGGGTCATGTGGCCAGCATGACTAAGCCGCTTCTGGCGAACCAGAGCAGTGCACGGAAACGCCGTTTACCTTCCCGCTGGAGTGGTACCTATTTATCTACTTGCACTTTGAGGTGCTTTCGAACTGCTAGGTTGACAGGAGCAGGGACCAAGCAACGGGAGCTCACCCCGTCGCGGGGATTCGAACCACCGACCTTCTGATTGGCAAGTCCTAGACTCTGTGGTTTAACCCACAGCGCCACTTACTTTAATAATAATTCATATAAGTGATTAGCTGCCATTTGCTCCTTTAGGGAATATGTGGTGGAAAGCAACTTGAGGAAAGTCTGGATCAGAAAAACTGTGTGTGGGGCAAGGCTTGAGTACACACATACTCCCTGTTGGTCCACTACAAATTTCCTCATGCCAAAGTGGCTTTTCTTGTGGCAGCGAGAGAGAAAGAGGCTTCAGGTCATAACATGCCAGTTTGCCCCCTGGGTACGGAGGAGGTTAGCAAACCAGGGGTACCTTTGTCGAATTCTATTCTGCATCTTGAGCTTCATCCAGATGCAACGGTAAGCCAATGAAGACTGCCGGAGAACTCTCTAATGACTTGCAATTGGCTACAGAGAGCAGAGCAGAGCAGCCAATCACGTTGTATATGAATGCCTTTCTACAAATGACTGCTGCATGGTGCCAGCAGCTTGTGCTAGCCAAATGCAGCGAAGGAATTGAACAAACAATTCTGCCTGCCACCCTCCAGTTCCTATGGCCCAAAGCCCAGAGAAAGGAAGCTGGGGACCTCTAGTACTGCCAAGGGCAAGGGACGCTGGCCTCAGAAGCCCACTAATGAGCTGTATTGTACTCCACTCACTGTATTCAGAGTCTTTCTTTCGCGTCGCCTCTAATTATTCTTTTTAAGCTTGCCCCATCGATTGCTGTCGATCTGGACACACATTGACAGTCCATTACATTAGCTGGCTGGTTCCCAGGTCCAGGTGACTAATTCATGCTGGGTGACCCTCGAAGCTGTCAGCAGCGTCAAGACTCTAGGCAGGAAAAGAGCACAAGGAGGGGAAGGATCTGTACATGGGTTTCCATCTGGTTTTATGAACATAAACCACCTTCTCTGTAATTAGCCGTTCGGATGAAATACATGGAAGGCAACCTTTCCACTCCACAAGACTAAATTTTAGAGGCTTCGTTAAACACTGGGAACTGCGAGGTAAAAGGACACTGCCCCATTTTTCTCTAAATCAAATAACTAAGGGTTGCATGATGGGAGTCAGTGAATGGAATTTATGCCGCTGGAGCTTCTGAACTATGGGTTTTGTGTTAAAGGAGTTTAATTGATTTTCTTTGGCAAACTATAAATTTGGAGGTGACCTTTGATTTTGCAGGACCATAGGCTGAAACAATAGGGTGAAACAGTACATTATGCATAGAGTTGGGGTGTCACTTAAAGCAGCATCTCTCAGCATCAGTCTACACTCTGGTGGCTGTTGTCCTTGATGGAAGATCTCATAAGGTGCCTCAGACCTTCCCAGAGCCAGAGCACATGGGAGATGCTAACTAGCAAGATGGGTGGAATGGTAGAAACCATTCCTTGGTGTACCCTAGTTGCAAGCCATTTCATCTGTAAAGGTAGGAACCTGAAGGAGCGTCTCCACCCCCATTGTTCTACCCGGACACTGAGATCCAGCTCCGAGGGCCTTCTGGCCATTCCCTCACTGCGAGAAGCCAAGTTACAGGGAACCAGGTAGAGGGCCTTCTTGGTAGTGGCACCCGCCCTGTGGAACACCCTCCCACCAGATGTCAAAGAGAACAACTACCAGACTTTTAGAAGACATCTGAAGGCAGCCCTGTTTAGGGAAACTTTTAATGTTTGATGCATTACTGTATTTTAATATTTTGTTGGAAGCCGCCCAGAGTGGCTGGGAAAGCCCAGCCAGATGGGCAGGGTATAAATAATAAATTATTATTATTATTATTATTATTATTATTATTATTATTATTAACCTTGAATTGTGCCTAAAAGCCAACTGGCTACCAGTTCTCAATGCTTTTTTCTGGGGGTACTTAAGGGCACACAGTACTGGCACCATTTCTTCCAGCTGTTAACAACTTCATGGTGAGTACTGGTACCCTTTTTCCTTTAAAAAAACAATGGATGTTATTATAATCTTATACACTGTTCTGGTATGATTAGAGGTGAGCCAACAGTAGCCGTGGCAGAAGCTCTGCCCATCAAATTTTCCCTCCCAAAATGTGTGCACTGAGGACAGCGAGGTTACACTTGACCTTTTAGGAATTCTGTCATTTTCTACTACAGATACTTTAAAAAAACCTCCAATCCCTGTTTTTAAAAGGGGGTGGGGGGAGGAATTGTGATGGTACACACCCTCTACCCCACTATAATCATTCACCATATTTCAGTCCCCATCCCAACACACACACCTTTATGGATTTAAATCACTGCCTTTCTAATTTGAGAGGACCCTCAAGCCAGCCAAATTCAGCCCAGGTAAGGGCTAATCTTAATCAACAGCAGAGTTCCCATGTTTTGAACCAGTTAGCATTCCCAAATAGTATTCAAGGACAGCCCCACATAGATCATAGCACATAGACTTGTGCTTCCAACCCTACCCGTCCAGTCACATGCTCGCTGTTTGGTTCACATCCTCGGTCACATCCGCACCTTTTGTGTGCTATAACAGTAATGTCTGCAGTGGGGATCCTGCTGTAAGATTTAGATCCATGGAATTCCATGGGGCATACATGCTTACAGGACTCTCTGTCGCTGAAATTACCCTTCTAGCACCTGAGAGGCACACAAATAAGCGTTCAAGGAAGGAGGACATGGGCCAAGAACCACAATTCTGTGAGAGGGGCTGTAGAACTGGTCATAGCTTCTACCCAGGCACCAAAAATGTAAAACTGGGTCCAACAAAACCACATCTTCACTGCTTCCATCTTCTCCACTTTCATGGTGCGATGGGTGAAAAGGATAGGAGAGAAAATGGAAGATAAAGAATTGTGGCTCAGGGAAAAAAGGGGAGAAAGCTGGAAGATATTTTTGCATTCCTAGAATGATAGTGATAACAACCAAAATAATTCAGAGCTAATTATATTTGTTATCAGTCAACATAATTTCCTCCCATTCTGTGCCTAACATCATTTCCCTCTTCTCTCAGACAGTCTGAACAAACGTTTTCCCCTTGTCATTATTTTAGCAAGAAGCAAAGTAATGTTGATTGAACTAATAGTGTAAACAGAAGGATATCACTTAAAATGCCCAAAGATGTGGTGCTATTTTTCATTCTACTGCAGTGCTGACATATTTGCTGACAGTGAACATCTCCCTCGAGGATTTGGTCCACACAGTTGGGCTTGTAATTCAAATTCTGTCGGTAGAAGACGCAACTGAGCCCTTGCTCTCATGGAGGTGGCAAGCCATGGCCTTGCTAGGTTGGAGTTCACATGACTGAATGTTCTGCCAAACAGAAAACTTCACATAGCTGTTAGGTAAAACAAACCCTCAGGGAAATGGAAACAAGATAATTTCTCCACACAAATGAAGTGATAGAGGCTTGCAGACTAAAAACAGAAGCTTATTTAACTGGATATATGAACTTCAGCCTTCCTGTTGTTATCCCTGCCCTGTCTAGCTTTGAATTTTCCTTTTCCTCTCAGACTCCTCCTTTTGTCAGAAATGTTCCTCTCGGCCACTCAGCCTTTCTTGGGGTAAAGGTAAAGGGACCCCTGACCATTAGGTACAGTCGTGGATGACTCTGGGGTTGCAGCGCTCATCTCGCTTTATTGGCCGAGGGAGCCGGCGTACAGCTTCCAGGTAATGTGGCCAGCATGACTAAGCCGCTTCTGGCGAACCAGAGCAGTGCACGGAAATGCCGTTTACCTTCCCGCCGGAGCGGTACCTATATATCTACTTGCACTTTGACATGCTTTCGAACTGCTAGGTTGGCAGGAGCAGGGACTGAGCAACGGGAGCTCACCCCGCCACGGGGATTCGAACCGCCAACCTTCTGATCGGCAAGCCCTAGGCTCTGTGGTTTAACCCACAGCGCCACCCGCGTCCCTTTTTCTTGGGGTAGACCTTATCTTTTAACACGTGGCAAAAGCTCTCACTATATGGCATATGCCCTTTACCACAGAACAGAATCAATAGTACTGCAGATGTCCTTCTGGAAGTGCTGTGGCAGAAGGAGAAAGAAGAGAGCCTCTTTTGGTTCTGGTTTTTGGTTTGGTTTTCAGCGTGAGCCAGCTAACTTGCACCACGGCACGGAAACAAAAAACGTGCATCATTTGGTCCCACGCTCTGCTGCTGCCGGAGCACAGGAGCCAAAATAGGACATTCAGGATTGAGCTCAGAAGCCGGGGCAGCTTCTATCAATCTGAGATGTCTCGCCTAAAATGGGACACTTGAAGGGAATGGTGTGTGTGCGCACACTCTTATGCCAAAGCACCACAAAAAACACACACCAACTAGAACATTTGTCGTATAAAAAGTTGCAGGTTTTCAGCAGGGTCTTATGGGAAACGCAGCAGTGAAGGAAGTCACTCAGGCGCCTGGGGAGGCGCGTCCAGGGGCGGGGCAAGGGCGGGGCACACCCGTGGGGCCTCTGGAGTCTGCCTGCCTCCTCCCACTCAGCCACCAGTGTGGTGTAGTGGTTAAGAATGGTAGACTCGTAATCTGGTGAACCAGGTTCGATTCCCCGCTTCTCCACATGCAGCTGCTGGGTGACCTTGGGCTAGTCACACTTCTTTGAAGTTTCTCAGCCCCACTCACCTCACAGAGTGTTTGTTGTGGGGGAGGAAGGGAAAGGAGAATGTTAGCCGCTTTGAGACTCCTTCGGGTAGTGATAAAGTGGGATATCAAATCCAAACTCTTCTTCTTCTTCACCCTACAGGTGGGGGAGAGGCAGCGGGCAGACCGTTTGGGCAACATGGAGCCTGTGCACACCCAATCCACCGCGTCTCTCCCAGGAAAGACACATGGCTCAGGCATGCTGCAGGCTCCATGGTGAGTGCAGCCCGGCATTTTGTCACCCCTCTCAGTGGTGACACCCGGGGCAGATCGCCCCCACCGTACCCCCTTCCTTTGCCCCTGGGGACATGCACTGTATGGAAATGAAGCCGTCTGACTGGCCCAAAACTTTCACAGGTCACAAATGGCATGGAAAGTGTAATTGTGCCTTACTGCCCTGATACCACCAAGAGTGCAAATTATCATTAATGCACTAGATCCGTCGAAGGGCATTTTCTTTCTCTCCTTAGAAGGATATCATGCCATCATCATGGCTGTGTTGCTGCAGGTGGGTACTGCAGCAAGAGGAACAGTGGCGCTCTAGCTGGGCTTTGATCCATCTCTGATAACAGGATAACCAGATTGCAAATTAGATCTTGTCCTACTCAGTTCAGTTATGTCTGTTCACTCTTATTTGTTTTAGCCATAGGCCATAACAAATGCAGAATACACAATACAACTGCCGTCCTAATCACAGGGCAGTAGCTAGAATCTGAACAGCAACCAAGCAACATACAACTACAATAATAAAATGTCAGTAATCTAGTTTCCTGTCTAGAGCATAAGCATCCAAATAACTCTGGCGAGAGCTTGTACTACCGAGCCATAGTTGGCTACGTTCTCTGTTATCTCCACATTCAGTTTCAGTTTTAATTGTTTAGCCATGGAGTGTGACTACAACTAATAACAACCAAAATAAATCATATTAATAGTAACTTTCAAGATTTCAAAAATTCAACTGGTTTCCCCTTTAACCCAGAAATGAATTTGTTTATCTGGATATCATGAACACAATCTGCATATCTCAAATGCACGTCCCTTTATCAAGAGGACCAATAGTATTGAAATACATTCGATGGTGCTTTGATACTGACAGGGCAAGTATAACTATTTGCTCCGTTGCCTCCTTGTGATCATTAGCAAATAGGAATTCAGCATTTTGCCCTGTTTGTGCATGTTAGGGAGCAATCTCTTAAATATGGGAAGCCAGCGAAATTCATGCCAAGTTAAATTAAGCTGATTCAAAGTATACCAAATCCAAGCTCCATTTAGGCTGAGCTGGTCTAAGCTTGGCAGAACGAAAACAAGCTATTACAATACAGCTTGACTCGCACTAGCCATTTTGCTGCCATGCATTCCACCAGGTTGTCAGGTCACGTGACCAATCATGGACTAAGGATCCAGTGTAAGCCTGTCTTGTCTGCCCCAACCTGCCCCAGAACGTTGAGCTAGGAAACCAGCTGGCTGAGCTGAAGATACACCACATTCTAACTTGTTCATTCCAGCAGATCTAGGGATACAAACAAACTCTGATGGCCTGGGAATCAGATTCAGAGGCTGAACCTGAGGAATCCCAGCCTGCACAGGAGTCCCCACCTCCAGAACCAGCTGAGCCGGGGCTGGGGCTTGAGCCTGAAGGGTCCTCACCTGTGCTGGGTCCTCAGGAGCAGACATCAGCTGAATCCACTCTGGCTCCGGAGGTGATGGAGGACCCATTGCCTGCAGGTGCTCCACTCTCAGCCCCGTCAGGGGAGGAGGAGGTTGCCTCTGGGTCCAGTAACCCTCCAGCCTCTCCGGAGCTGAAGAGGCTCAGGGCAGAGAGGCGGAGGGAACTAAGTTCTCACAGGAGGAGTGCTCGCCTCCAGGCCAGGAGAGGCGAATCACCTGTGGGCCAGGACCGCCCTATGCCTCAGAGGAGATAAAGGCTAGCCCGCCCAGTCCCCGGTTGCGGGAGCAACCTTGTTGGTTACCTGTTCCTGCTGGCACCCTGAGCTGCTCTCCTGAGTTCCTGACCACACCCAACTCCTCGCTTTGGATCTTGCTTCGCCCCTAATGGACAGCCTCCTTACCCTCGACCTAGGACCGGACTTAGACCACGCCGCACGGTAAACCCCCCCCCCCGGGCCAGCACACAAACCCTTAGACTTATGCCTTTAAGGAGGTGGGGGGGTGACTTTTTCGTGTAGGCTGTCAAAATAGGACAGTCCAATCAATAACAGAATATTCTCATGAGCTCACTCAGGTTATACACTGTGTGGAGCTTCTATTTTGTAGAATCAGAGATTTGAAGGGAGCTCTAGACTAACCCACCCCAAAATATAAACTTGACTGAGTACAGTGGTACCTCGGGTTAAGTACTTAATTCGTTCCGGAGGTCCGTACTTCACCTGAAACTGTTCTTAACCTGAAGCACCACTTTAGCTAATAGGGGCCTCTTGCTGCTGCCGCGCCATCGTTCTACCCGGACACTGAGGTCCAGTGCCGAGGGCCTTCTGGCGGTTCCCTCACTGCGAGAAGCCAAGTTACAAGGAACCAGGCAGAAGGCCTTCTCGGTTGTGGCGCCCACCCTGTGGAACGCCATCCCACCAGATGTCAAAGAGAACAACAACTACCAGATTTTTAGAAGACATCTGAAGGCAGCTCTGTTTAGGGAAGCTTTTAATGTTTGATGCATTACTGTATTTTAATATTTTGTTGGAAGCCGCCCAGAGTGGCTGGGGAAGCCCAGCCAGATGGGTGGGGTATAAATAATAAATTTTATTATTATTATTATTATTTATTATTATTATTATTATTATTATTATTATTTCTGTTCTCATCTTAACCTGAAGCACTATCTCTGGGTTAGCGGAGTCTGTAACCTGAAGCGTATGTAACCCAAGGTACCACTGTATAACAAAGCAGCATTTGCAGCAGCAGCAAAAACCAACAGCAAACAAAAACCCTTGTGAAAAAGGGCCCCACCCTCAAGAAACTGGTGGAGAAATTCTCACTTGACTGGAGATGTTTAATGAAATGGTTCTCCCAGTTTCTCTGCTCACAAATGAGAACTTCAAGAGGCCCTCTGTGCACAACTCTAGTTCAAGGCTGTTGTATCTTCACAGGGCACTAAATGGCCAGGATACTTTTTTAAAAAATAGATTTTATTGGAATTTAGGAAAAAAAGGTATACAAAATTTATTATTAAATATCTTTTTTGTCAAAAGTAAAAGGTTAATGTAGATAAAAGCACAAACCACAACAAAAAAAGAAACACACTGTAGCCTCTCCCAAAATACACTACAGTGGTACCTCAGGTTACAGATGCTTCAGGTTACAGACGCTTCAGGTTACAGACTCCGCTAACCCAGAAATAGTACCTTGGGTTAAGAACTTTGCTTCAGGATGAGAACAGAAATTGTGCGTCGGCAGCATGGTGGCGGCGGGAGGCCCCATTAGCTAAAGTGGTACCTCAGGTTAAGAACAGTTTCAGGTTAAGAACGGATCTCCAGAATGAATTAAGTTCTTAACCCGAGGTACCACTGTACCTCTCCCCAGCCAATACACCTCACTGGTCTTGCTTTACATCCTCCAGGTTTGTTGTGATGAAAAGGATGATGTGAGTCCCATGAGTAGGACGCTCATGGCCAACTTGAATTTTCTCAGTGACAGAGAAACCATTTATAGCTTTCATTGGGCACGTTTAGATGCCCAGCTAGCTTGAACAGGAGCTTTCGCATCCTGCTGATAATCCTGCCCCCCTCAAACAGGTAGAAAGTGTATCCATATCAATGCAGCTACAATACTTGAATCAGAATCAAACCTTCCAGACGACCACAGCACTAAATAGCAGCTCTTCAGGAGAAAAGAAGCTGTACCTGTGGCAATCATTTACTGCAAGACCAGCTACACTGGAGTTTTTTCCATACGCTATTTTTAGCTCTTTTACAATAAGTGCAAAGAACTACTGACAGTCTATTTGGAGATCTATTTCAGTTTGAGGCAAAAGCACTGTGTTGTCTGCATAAATAAAATATTGATGGTTAATTCCACCCTCAACCCCTTCTGGCAAGCGGGGATGATCTCTGCTAAGGTTTGCTCCAATATCATTTATAGAAAAAGCAAAGAATACACACCCTCCTTAGTTTTGCTAGAATATGATTTGTCAGAAATCTGGAGGAAGATGTTAAAATCTGAGGTCGGTATCTCTCTGACGTGTTTTTACTAGCAGCAGCAAGTGGTGGTCCAGATTGGCATTTGCCAATTTATCCCAGAATTGTTGTCAGTCATATCCAAAGAAGCTTTTAAATTAACAAGGCCTGCAGGTCAATGAAAATTTGCTAACTTAACATATTTAGGGATCAAGATGTTTGAGGACTAAGCAGCTGCCTACTGTAGAGTAAGGTAAAGATAAAGGACCCCTGGATGGTTAAGTCCAGTCGAATTCGGCCATGGGGTGCGATGGTCATTTCCACTTTCAGGCCGAGGGAGCCGGCGTTTGTCCGCAGACAGCTTTACTGGGTCATGTGGCCAGCATGACTAAACCACTTCTGATGCAATGGGACACTGCGACAGAAGTCAGAGCGCATGGATATGCTGTTTACATTCCCATTGCAGTGGTACCTATTTATCTACTTGCGCTGGTATGCTTTCGAACTGCTAGGTAGGCAGGAGCTGGGACACAGCAACGGGAGCTCATCCCATTGAGCAGATTCAAACTGCTGACCTTCTGATCGGAAAGCCCAAGAGGCTCCGTGGTTTAGATCACAGCACCACCTGAGTCCCTGTAAAGTAACCATAGCTAAATCCCGATTGTGCTTCACACAAAATGTAGATACACAGAACTTGCCTTATATTGACTTGACCACTAATCCAACAAATTCACACTCTCCATCGTCTCAGGCATAGGTCTCTCCTACCCCTACCTGAAGATACTTGGGATTGGACTTGGACCTTCTACAGTGGTACCTCGGGTTAAGAACTTAATTCGTTCTGGAGGTCTGTTCTGAAACTGTTCTTAACCTGAGATACCACTTTAGCCTCCCGCTGCCACCGAGCAATTTCTGTTCTCATCCTGAAGCAAAGTTCTTAACCCGAGGTACTATTTCTGGGTTAGCGGAGTCTGTAACCTGAAGCGTCTGTAACCCGAGGTACCACTGTATATGCAAAGTAGTTGTTCTGCTATTGAGCTGCATCCATAGGGCCTTTACGTACTGCCTAATCCTCCATATATATGTGTTGTTGCTGTTGTTGTTGTTGTTGTTGTTGTTGTTGTTGTTCCCATCTGACTGGGTTGCCCCAGCCACTCAGGGTGGTTTCCAACAATTAAAACCTTAAGCACAGTAAACATCAAACATTAAAAACTTCCCTATACAGGGCTGCCTTCAGATGTCTTCTAAAAGTCAGATACAGTGGTACCTCGGGTTAAGAATTTAATTTGTTCTAGAGGTCTGTTCTTAACCTGAAACTGTTCTTGAGGTACCACTTTAGCTAATGGGGCCTCCCACTGCCGCCGTGCCACTGCCACACGATTTCTGCTCTCATCCTGAAGCAAAGTTCTTAACCCAAGGTACTATTTCTGGATTAGCGGAGTCTGTAACCTGAAGTGTCTGTAACCTGAAGCGTCTGTAACCCGAGGTACTACTGTAGTTGTTTATTTCCTTGACATCTTCTGGGAGGCCACCACTACCGAGAAGGCCCTTTGCCTGGTTCCCTGCAACCTCACCGCTCGTAGTGACGGAAGCACCAGAAGGCCCTTGTTGCTGGACCTTAGTGTCTAGGAAAATAAGAATGATGGGGTTGCAGATGCTCAGGTTCACTTAACAAATATCTGGCATAACATTGAACCAAGTTGTAACTCATAGGCCTTCAACTGGAAAGTTTACTACTGCCGTTCATATAAACAGTGGCATTTGAGTTCCATGCACGGGAAAGCAACTTTCTAAACTCAAGGCACTGACCATAAGAGGTGGATCCCATCAGACTAGACTACATTAAAAAACTTCACAAGGAATACTGTCCTCACCTGGAAATGTATCATTAGTCAGTTGCAAAATTAGATTCTCTACTGCCTTAATAGTAACTGTGGGGCCATGATTAATTTCCAGTTTGTCATTAGTGCTCTGACCTTCTGAGCTGATTACCGTGTAAAAGACTTCATACAAGTATTGCTCCTGAACACTATTAGTTACATTTATCAGCATATGATTATTAGAGAATAACCATGGTGGCAGTTGTTCATTCATTTCCAAAACTAAATGCTGTATTTCAACTTGGTGGTTAAATTCTATATAAGTTATCTAAAAACTTGCATCCTTCCCAATAATCCTTTGTATACCCTCTTCAGACCAATCCAAACTTGGAATGCATGTTCATAATTGCTTAGTTTAATATGCCTTACTGCATATTCTTTTCTGAAATTTCTAAAATTCGCTCTTAATAATTTATTCAAATAAAATAATTGTTTAAATGAATGAACAACAGCTGCCATGTTTCCCCTCCTAGTAATCGTATGCTCAGAAATATAACCAGTAATAATTGTATGAAATTCTTAACCATTTATTTATTTTAATTTATATCTGGTCTTTCTTCCCAAGGGAGGGCAGGGCAGCAGGGTTAATCAACTCTTCTCAAGATGGTTCACAAAACTGGGACATTAGCTAGCAGTGTGGGTGTGAGAGAGGGGGGAATGCAAATAACTACATTAAAACTAAAATAGCATTCCGAATCAAAATCATAACTGTAAAATATAAAGTTAGGTAAGGGTAAAGGGACCCCTGACCATTAGGTCCAGTCGTGACCAACTCTGGTGTTGCAGCGCTCATCTCACTGTATTGGCCGAGGGAGCCGGCGTACAGCTTCCGGGTCATGTGGCTAGCATGACTAAGCCGCTTCTGGTGAACCAGAGCAGTGCACGGAAACGCCGTTTACCTTACCTCCAGAGCGGTACCTATTTATCTACTTGCACTGCGTGCTTTTGAACTGCTAGGTTGGCAGGAGCAGGGACCAAGCAACGGGAGCTCACCCCATCACGGGGATTCGAACCGCCGACCTTCTGATCGGCAAGCCCAAGGCTCTGTGGTTTAACCCACAGCGCCACCCGCATAGCATCAATTAAAAGCAGCAGACTGGAAGGTGGAGCAAGGCAGGTAGGGAAATCCCTGCCAATGAGAACTTAGGCAACTCCATGAATAGGAAACATTCACTTACATAGGTTATAATGAAGCAGAGAACGTGGGGACATCGCTGAGGAAGTGAGTAAACCTGTTCCCTCTCCCTGGTGATGCCATTGGTTCTATCCATTGAATAGTCCACAGGGGCCTATCTACATATCTCTGTTCTAGATTCTGTTCTTAGTCATGCTAGAGTGTGGTCCTCTTCCATGGAAACCTCCAAGAACTTTCCATGGTTTCCAGTGATCTCTCAACCAAGCACCAACCAGGTCCACAGCTGCTTACTTTCATCAATCCTTACACCATCAGGTGTTCCCAGACTTCACCAAATGATATCCACTGTATATAAAGGGTGGAAAAAACTATTTATGTCCAAGGGTATATTGTGGTTTTGCTGTTGCAGATGTTGGTTCTTTGCTGTGCTGCTTATTTTTAAAAAACATCTTACCTGAATTAATGGATAGGGCTCAAGTTAATGGGATGCAGGTAGCGCTGTGGTCTAAACCACTGAGCCTCTTGGGCTTGCCGATCAGAAGGTCGGTGGTTTGAATCCCCACGACGGGATGAGCTCCCATTGCTCTGTCCCAGCTCCTGCCAACCTAGCAGTTCGAAAGCACACCAGTGCAAGTAGATAAATAGGGACCACTGCAGTGGGAAGGTAAATGGTGTTTCCATGCACTCTGGTTTCCATCCCGTTGTGACAGAAGAGGTTTAGTCATGCTGGCCACATGACCTGGAAAGCTGTCTGTGGACAAATGCCGGCTCCCTCGGCCTGAAAGTGAGATGAGCACCGCAACCCCATAGTCGCCTTTGACTGGACTTAACCGTCCTGGGCTCCTTTACCTTTTCTCAGGTTAATGCAGACAAGAAGAAAAGGTGACATCCTTTGAGGCCAATTATGTTTTTCACCTCTTGGTTTCTTGTATCCCAGTTTGCAGGGTGCAATATTTAACATCAAGTTTGATTAATACAATTAACACTTGAAGCGGGGGAACTTTAACTCAAGAGAAAGCAGAACGCTTTCGAAATTGTCAGCTGCATTCACTGGAATATTGTCTCCTTACCCCCATCACTGAGTTCAGTTGGGCTGCTGGAGCAAGAAGTCAGATCAAGTTCACCAGGAATGGGCAGACTGCCAAAGTAACAGAGCTCTGTCCAGCAGGACCAATAGACCTAGCACAACTTATGAAAGCAATTTGTTGTTTCAGCATCAAACTCTCTGGAAGGCTCAGGCATAGGACACCTGTAGTTCACAGACAGATGCTGGAAAATGTGGAAGTTGCTAAGCAAGTAAAAAAGTTAAAAGGTGACAGTGACAAGGAAGCGTGATGATGACTAAGCCTCTGGAACAGTGTTTCCGGCTGATAGCTGAGGCACACGTTTTCTGAATTAAAATTAGAGAAACGCTTCACTCTTTCATACCCCAATAAGTTTACTTTTGGAGTGCATAACAGAGAGAATTACCTACCTTCAGTACCTAAATGTTTCTGCATGTCCTTGTCCCAGCCATGTTTGTTGGCTGGAAGGTAGAAAACTCAGAGCAGTGATGTAGGCAGCGATGCAGTGGGTGGCCTCTAATGCTCTAATCCAGTGTTTCTCAACCTGTGGGTCCCCAGATGTTGGTGGACTACAACTCCCATAATTCTTAGCCAGCATGACCAGTGGTCAGGGATGATGGGAGTTGTAGTCCAACAACATCTGGGGACCCACAGGTTGAGAACCGCTGTATCTAATCCCATCAGATGCCCAGGCACAGCCGAATTAGGAACATAGAAAGCAGCCTCATAGCAAATAAATGACCCATTTGGCTCCAAATTATTTTTTATATTTTGCTGGAGGCCGCCCAGAGTGGCTGGGGAAACCCAACCAGATGGGTGGGGTATAAGCAATAAATAATAATAATAATAATAATAATAATAATAATACACGGACAGGCAGAGGTTATCCAGGGTTTCAGGTAGACATCTTTCTCAATGCAAGCTGGGGAAGCCAGGGACTGAACTCAGAGCCTTTCTGCACTGCTGAGGCTCTCCAGGAGGCAAGGCCAGAGCAGTGAATCAAACACAAGTGGGTACTTTGGGCTCAAAGTCACACAAGCCTTTCAATTATTTAATATATTTATTTCTCCTGGTGCGCTACGGTCCTCCCTTGGTAAATGACTGAGCCCTGGAACACAGCTCTAGAAACCTGAAGGGATGCGAGCTGAACAGGATTTTAGGGAAGAATCGCTGGGGCGACAAAGCACACTTCCCTTAAATGAGAAATCAAGGGACTCCCCCTCCCCCACCCCCACCGGAGTCTTGCCTTTGATATATGAATACGACTCCCCAGCTCCAGCTCCCTTGTGTCTCTTGTAGCTCTTGATAATTTAAGATTATTTTTATAATGTGCTTGGCTGCTGCATGCAAATCACATCGCCTTGCCCAGAATTGCATTATACAACACAGCAAGGACCATCTGAACTGAATAAAGACGCAGCATTAAATCAGGTACTTAATCGCTCATTTTGCTTTGATTTACTGAATCCATTGTCTTCCGGTTTTATGTTACAGGGGGAAAAATCCCAGCCCAGCCCCAAGAAGAAGAAAAAAACATAGGAAGAAACAACTTGATACGACAGGCCCCAATATGCAGTGTCAGATTAGGAAACAATATATTAAGATCCTAGTGGTTTCGGAAAATCAATACAGACATGCTTATTCAAGTGACTAGTAACGTCACAGGGGCCATTAAAAAGGCAACTGAGGATTGACCCACAAATATACTACCTAGAGGGTTAGTTGCTGTTTTTGTGTTATTAACATGGATGGAAATTACAAGACTCCACTTGTGGCTTTGTGGAATTGAACGTCAGCCTGGAAACAGACAATAGCTTTTTCAGAGTATTGAAACAATGACAGCCATCGCTGTCCATGGCATGCATAGGCACTGCACAAAAACCTGCGCAAAATCATCTGACCAGAGACGACAGCCGGACAAAATGCACGAGTGTGTATGCCACAGGAGACAATGCTTTCATCATGCCACCTACCGCTTTTGAGCTTTATGCTGTCAATCACATGTTCACATAATAAAGGTGATCTAGGGATGATGGAGGAGGAAGGGTTTTTTGTGTGAATGCTCAGATGACCAGCCAGATACAATGAGTTTTCATTGTCTTAATTTATTTCCTGTATTTGTAGGCCGCCTTTCAGGTTCGTCCCTCATTCCCTTCCCCTTCCCCTCTGCGCTCAAAACATCAGGCATTGGGAGCAATTGATATGCAAGGTCCAAATAACATGTTTAACCAATCTTTCCCCCACCCAGCACACCATCATGTATCTATGTACGGGTGACAACCATTTTGCATGGGGGTTCCATTCCTGGGCCCCACAAGTGTCAGCGGAGTGTGCATAGGCCTGCCCTTTCGGGTCCAGAAGGACCCATGTGTTAGCAGTTGTATGTCAATTGGAAGTGTGAAAAATGTACTTACTGTTCAGGATAACACTTCATCAATCTGAAGAAGTGGACTGTAGTGCCCAAAAGCCTATGTCGTAATAGATGTGTTATTCTTGAAGGTGCCGCAAGATTCTGTGTTTTTGGAAACAAGGCTACCCCTTGGGAAGTTTAACCGTTGGAGTTTGGTTCATCTGCATTATCAGTAGTGGGTAGTGGAGTGGAGTGATGCTACTCACTTGACCTTTGGCCAGCCATACTGCTGCTTACCGAAAGTACTTGTTGTTGTTGTTGTTTAGTTGTTTAGTCGTGTCCTACTCTTCGTGATCCCATGGACCAGAGCACGCCAGGCACTCCTGTCTTCCACTGCCTCCCGCAGTTTGGTCTAACTCATGCTGGTAGCTTCGAGAACACTGTCCAACCATCGTGTCCTCTGTCATCCCCTTCGCCTTGTGCCCTCAATCTTTCCCAGCATCAAGGTCTTTTCCAGGGAGTCTTCTCTTCTCATGAGGTGGCCAAAGTATTGGAGCCTCAGCTTCAGGATCTGTCCTTCCAGTGAGCACTCAGGGCTGATTTCCTTCAGAATGGATAGGTCTGATCTTCTTGCAGTCTAAATATGCTGGTCGTTTGTTCTGGTATAGCATCCCCTAACAATAGATCCTCAGGACTATGACCAAACTTAAAGCCCCATGCTTATTTAAATCACGGACGGGCAATCCATATACTCCCAGATGTTGCTGGACTCTAGTTTACGTCAGCCCCTACCCAAATGGCCAACAGGAGTTGGAGTCTCCAGCTGTTCCCTGTCTCTGCTTGAAAGGAAGCCGTGACAGCTAAAGAGAAGTTAAAGGTAAAGATAAAGGATCCCTGACAGTTAAGTCCAGTTGCAAATGACTCTGGCGTTACGGCACTCATCTTGCTTACTTGCTGAGGGAGCCGACGTTTGTCCGCAGACAGTTTTTCGGGTCATGTGGCCAGCATGACCAAGCTGCTTCTGATGAAACCAGAGCAGTGCACAGAAACACTGTTTACCTTCCTGCCAAAGTGGTACCTATTTATCTACTTGCACTTTGACGTGCTTTTGAACTGCTAGGTTAGCAGGAGCTGGGACCAAGCAATGGAAGCTCACCCCGTCATAGGGATTCGAACCGCCAATCTTCCAATCGGCAAGCCCTAGGCTCAGTGATTTAGAACACAGCACCACCCGCGTCCCGTAAAGAGAAGTTAGACAGGTGTAAATTGGTAGTGTTCAAAATACAGGTAAAAGGGGGAAATTATGTTTGATTCATGTAAAATATAATAATGAATTTTAGTATAGTTAAGAAACCTTCCAGAATTTTAATTTGCACAAACAGAAATTTAAAATATGCAGTTTAACATGGTGATCTCCAGGTTTTTCATTACTCTAGCAAGAGTTGCTTTCCCCAATTTCACCAATATGACATTACTGCAAGTTAGAGCAAACACCGCACTGAACCTTGGTTTTCCACCCACAGCATACACAAACGATCACTTGAACATCAGTTAATTTAAGTACTTAATTTAATTAACATAAGGTTTGGGAAATAATTTTGAACCGAAACCACTGAAGCAATAATTCCTTGTATCTCACAGTCCCTGGAATTTAATAAGTGGTGCTGCAGTTTAATTTGGGGACAACATAATTTTTAATATGGATGGAAAGGAAATGCTCTTATTCCTTCATGTTTGCCAAACACAGTAAAAATTAAATCCTAAAGGATTTCTGTTTTTTGATCCCCGACCCCACCCCTTTATTAAACCACAGACACTTGAGTTCATTCTAGCCAAGCTTAGGCACAAATCAGGTCCCTTGATTTCAATCAAGCACTGACAATGCAAGCCTGTTCATGCCTTTTGTTGTTGTTGTTGTTTAGTCATTTAGCCGTGTCCGACTCTTTGTGACCCCCTGGACCAGAGCATGCCAGGCACTCCAGTCTTCCACTGCCTCCCGCAGTTTGAAGACATGCATGCCTACTCAGAAGAAAGCCCCACTGAGAAAAACAGGGCTCACTTAGGTAAGTGGATATAGGGTTACACCTTTTCCCATCTTTTCCATCGAAAGCATTTGACTTTGCTTGGATTGAGCCCAGTAGTTTCAAGAATTTTGTCATAATTTAATTTCATAATATTGCATAAGGAGAATAGTCTGCCAATTAAAAAAGAGAGTCCTTGTGATGACACATTTACAAGTTTCAAAGTAGAGCAACACCTGTATTTTTTATTTTTTATTTATTGATTTTTCCATGTATACTTCTTCTAACAATATATCGTTAACAATTTTTCATATTTCCACCCTCCTCCCCTAGACTTCCCTCATACTCCCATTTTGTTTTATTTCCATATTGTTCACCCTGCGTATTGTTTCCCCTAAATTTTCCCAATACATATAGTCTTATTTTTTGTTGTATACAGTTGTGATTGTTTACTCAAACCCTGCCAATGAGTCCATTTCTTTATGTTGCGTCTTCAAATATGTTGTAAATGGTTCCCATTCTCTTTTAAAGTCTTCGTTGTCCTTTTCATGTAGTTTATCTGTTAGTTTTGCCAGTTCTGGATATTCCATAAGTTTCCCTTGACATTGTTCTTTCGTTGGTATTTTTTCTGTCTTCCAAGTTTGTGCTAACATAATTCTTGCTGCTGTTGTTGCATACATAAATAATTTCCAATTGTCTTTTTTTTTACATCTTGGTCTAAAATTCCTAGGAGGAGTGCTTCTGGTTTCTTAACAACGCCTGTATTAAGCCAACCAAAATATCACAAATCTAGCGTGCCAGTTTTCGAGTTTTCTAGAACTCTTTATCAGGCTAGTTGGTAAACAGAACAATATGTGATGGGCAGGATGGGGTGAAAAAATAATTGGCTAATGTTGAGGTCATGGGGAGGAGTTGAACATCACATTCTTCTGAACTTTCCACCAGCACAACCACACCTGCTTGTCACATGGAACAGTCCCCCTTTCCCCTCTCAGTGCACTGCTCTGGTGTGAGGTTGGTTGCCAGAGTTTCCAGAGCAGATTTGGAGGAGCCACATGGGAAGGAGGGAAGCCTTTTTTCACTAGCAGGAGCCCTAGATATAATTGTGGGTGGGGGTCACACACATTCAAATTTGGCTGTTCAGGTGACTGTTTGTATGCAGGAGCTCTACATGTGTGTAAACTCGTAGCGTCTCCATGCTTGCACAATGTGTAGCCAGAGAGGTTGCGGCCCGCAAGCTACATCAGTATGGTCAGTGGGTTGAATTCCCCTCTTCCTCTTCCTCTTAGCACATGCCAAAGAGGTCCTGGGGCCTTCTCTCTGCCATCATAACAATAAAGGACCACGTAATTTATGCAAAATTCAAAGAGAGTCCAGGCAACAAAGTTTCCACGATAAAACCTGCAGGGTAAATATATGGAAACTGAGTTGAAGTATAGGCATTTCCTATAGAAAATTTCCATCTTATGTCTGTAAAGTCTACATATTTTTCAATCATTAAAAAAGTGATTTTGCAGTGTGTTAATTGAAATGCATAGGTTGCCTCATTCCTAAATGTCATTGTGTAATGCAAATAGCTTTATGGTTGTGCCACGTTAATCTCCATCACCCCACCACCAAAAAAAAATCCAGCGAAGTAAATATTAATTATTCCTTTTTCATAGGTGGAGGAGCAGGAAATAGGGGTCAGAAACCAAGGGACACCTTGACTAGTTCTATGCACCAAATGGTGGGTTTGTGTTTGTGTTTGTGTTTCTTGATGGACCCATATTGCTTTAATGAAACACAGCCCCCTTCCTTGCTCCTAAAAGAAGAACATATATGTGAAAGAACACAGTCCCTAAGATTCTCACCCAGTGACATTCAGTTAATGTCTAAAAGGATGTTTCAGTCAAGATCTGTTAGGTCCAAATCTAGAACTCCACTTTGCCTTAGCAGCTCATTTAAATACCGCATATCATATACCTGCTCTTCCTATCTTCCTATGACTGTCCCACTGGTCAGCCAAAAAGGCTCTCAAGGTCATTTAAGATTGACATTGTGTCAAATCTGTCTGAAAATTTCACCTAACTCTGAAATACATCAACTCTGTCAATTCCTCACTTTTCATCTTTTCCACTCTTCAGCTCAGTTCTCCACACTGCCACATCAATTTGCAATCAGATTTATATATTAAAAGCCCCCATGAAATTCATCAACATTTTTGTGTGAATGTCTCCGAGTATATACAATTTTATGTGCAATTTTACCTAATTTGCATGTCTGCAAAGCAATTTTTCCTAACGCAATGCATTTTTGCATGCTGGTTTCACTAACGTGTACATTTCAACACACACTTATCATTAGTAAATTCATTTTTTTGTGCACATTACTTGGATGGAGAGATGCACTACAACATCTGGAGAAATGTGAATTTTCAAGGATGGCTGTGTTTTCGGTGCACGTATTGGACAGGACAATTCACATAGGTTTGCCTTTAAATGTGAACTGAATCTAGTTTCCCCCTCATCCCTAGACGCACTGTATAGCAAATTCAAATCTCTAAGCATAGATCCTTATGCTGCCCAAACATAACCATTTATGCCATAAGAGAGATATCAGTAAG